AAAGTACATTTCTGAGATCACACTATCGTCCCTTACGAAGTTCGCAAAATATGACGACGGTAGTCGCGAGACAAGTATTTTCTGTTCCATTTCTGAGTCAACAATAATTATAGTCCGTGTCAGATGAAGTCCTGTCCGCCATTCGTCATATATTTATTAATAACTCCAGCCTACGTAGCCTGTGTTTCTTGACATCAAATATGAGGTCGTCTACCGTTTGGTTTATTCGTTAAAAATAAGACATTCTTGTATTAGACTATCGCGTTATTGATCAACATATTTACATTGTTTTTGGTTGACTATCTATTTCCAACTTCATATCCTTCCAGAATATTTGATCGTTCTAAATAAATAAATAAATGAAAATAAAATAAAGATCTACTTTGTAGACTTCAAGGAACTGGATATATTTTTTAAAAAGAGATATTTCTTTAAAGGCCCGAATCCAAAGGTGCAATATCTGATGCATACGGGTGATGGTTGAAAATATTACAGAATGCGTAGGCTAGACAAAAAATGATAATTGCAGTGAATATAATTCCAGACCCCCAACCTACTGCTCGGAACTTTGGACCGAAACGATCGGAACTGAACGGTGGATAGTTTGAAACTTGTGGGCTTGGAATGTTATTCATCATAACGGTCGTCTTCGAGTATAGAATCCAGATGTTAGCAGTGAATATTTCGAAGACAGTAGGAAAGCGTTGTTCAGGTTAGCAGTGGATATTTTGGTAAAAGTAGCAGAGCATAGTTCGTCCTTCTGTTTCTCTTCACCTGACAAGCTGGACTGGACATTCGGGTAGAGTAGACAAAATGGCCGCCTTTATACACGACGGATTGAATGTTCTACGTCTTCTGATTGGTTAACCTTCTATTGGTAGACTATAAAGTGAGTCAAGTCATTTGGATTGGCTCACTAGTTACATATTATACACAAAAAACTGCAATATGGAACTCATTAGGGTTGTCTTTCTCAAGGATTTCGTATAATACTAAAAAAAATGTGCAAAAATGAGTCAAATAGTGATGGTAGCATCGAGAACTTTGAATTTCGACAGCTACTTACCCTCTCAAATATCTTTGTCTGCCATCGCTTTAATTTTAATTTTGTCGATTCTGTGGGATTCTCCGAAAATGGTCTTTTCTAAACTGTTGCCTGAATTTGACCGACTCTCTGATACACTTCAAAATAATCTTTACTATAGATTTTCCTTAATTTCTTTGATCTTTTCCAAAAATGATATTTTCCCTAATTTCACCAATTATATGTTGGTCAATATTAGTAATTTCTTCGTTTGCAGTAAAAAAGAAAAATGTCGAAAATAATGTCTTTTTAAAGCATTTATTGCCAAATATACTGATTTCGTATAAAGACCTATAAAAAATTATAATACATGAAAGTCCTATAAAAGATCACTGGTTACAAAATTAAAAGAATAATCTCCCTTAATATATTGGATATTACTTAGACTCAATATATATATATATATATATATATATATATATATATATATATACCTATCATTACACTTACCAATCAGCTAAAGTGCTTTTTGAAACAAAAAGTAGAATTCATTCCTATACTTTAACAAGAATTTCTCTCGATTCTATAATTTTTACCGAATATGATGTTTATGTATGTTTAGTTCTAAGATACTCGCAAAAAATGATCTTTTCTATATTTTTCCCTTAAATTAACAGTTTCTGTGGCACCAACAAAATGATCTTTTCTATATTTTTCCCCAACAAAAATGGTCTTTTCTATATTTTTCCTTAAATTAACAGTTTCTGTGGCACCAACAAAAATGGTCTTTTCTATATTTTTCCCTTAAATTAACAGTTTCTGTGGCACCAACAAAAATGGTCTTTTCTATATTTTTCCCTTAAATTAACAGTTTCTGTGGCACCAACAAAAATGGTCTTTTCTATATTTTTCCCTTAAATTAACAGTTTCTGTGGCACCAACAAAATGGTCTTTTTCTATATTTTCCCTTAAATTAACAGTTTGTGGCACCAACAAAAATGGTCTTTTTCTATATTTTTCCTTAAATTAACAGTTTCTGTGGCACCAACAAAAATGGTCTTTTCTATATTTTTCCCTTAAATTAACAGTTTCTGTGGCACCAACAAAAATGGTCTTTTCTATATTTTTCCCTTAAATTAACAGTTTCTGTGGCACCACTAAAAATGGTCTTTTCTCCAGTTTTCATTTAATTTTTTCAATTCTTTTATACTCTCTGAAAATATTTTCTATAATTTTCCGATGTCAAAAGGAAAAATTGTTTTAATATTCTATCGGATATAATATTGAACGTCTGACAAATATACACTGAAACTATTATAAGCGACAAAATGATATAATCACAATTCAACTTTTGATTTTAGTTAGTTTTCTTTTATTTATTTTTTTTATTATAGTCAATATTTTTGGTTAGAAATTATTTTTGCTTAAAAAGTTCTGCGACGGTGATAATAGTCTTGTCGTCTCTGTTTATTTTGATGCCCTTCCAATTATCTTCATTTTAATCAAGCAGAAGTTCCTCTCTGGATTTCTCTCATAATGCACTCTGTCATGTGACACCGGCGACCAGAATAAACGAATATAAATTTGAATACATTTAATCTTTTTCTTTCTCTCTCTCTTTTCGCTTCAGTCAAGAGTAAATTTTCTGTAGATCCAAAGATCAGTTAATGGACAACAACTAATGCAAGATTGTTTAATAACAGACAAGGAGAATAATTACTTCTATTAAGTTCCTTTCTTTTTTCTTTCTTTCTTTCTTCCTTCTTTCTTTCTTTTTCCTTTTCTTTTTCTTTCTTTCTGTTTTCTTTCCTTTTCTTTCTTTCGTTTTTTCTTTCACTCTTTTTCCTTTTCTTTCTTTTTCTTTCTTTCTTTCTTTTTACTTTTTTCTTCCTTTTTCTTTCTTTCGTTTTTTCTTTCTCTCTTTTTCCTTTTCTTTTTATTTCTTTCTTTCTTTTTTCTTTCTTTCTTTCTCTCTTTCTTTCTTTTTTCTTTCTTCCTTTTTCTTTCTTTCGTTTTTTTCTTTCTCTCTTTTTCCTTTTCTTTCTTTATTTCTTTCTTTCATTTTTCCTTTCTCTTTCTTTATCCTTTCATTTTTTCTTTCTTTTTTTTTTTCTTTTCTTTCTTTCTTTCTTTCTTTCTTTCTTTCTTTCTTTCTTTGCATTTTCAAGTGAGGTTCTGTTGAAAAGTCCTCGGTTTCCCTACTTCCTAAAATTTGAAGAATTGTTTAATACCTCTTTATATATATATATATATATATATATATATATATATATATATATATATATATGTATGTATGTATGTATGCGTGTGCGTGTATTTTGCTGAATCTTTTATCCGCTGTTGTATCTTATTAATATAAACATTATTTTTAGCCGATTCACGTGTCAACGCGCCCACCGTGGCCCAAATCTGCAATGACACTTTCTACTTTTCTATTTTCCTGATGGAACAAAAGGGGAGACAATTTCGATTTCTGCCTGAGACACGATCTTTCTTTAACCGGATTTCTAATCTAGGTTTCTGGTTGTTAATTTCACTGTTTAAGAAAAAAATAGAGATACTAACTCATATATATATATATATATATATATATATATATATATATATATATATATATATGTATGTGTGTGTGTGTGTGTGTGTGTGTGTGTATGCAAACGAATGTCTATTATGTTTGATCATGAGCCGTTCTGAGCTCCGTATAGTTGCTTTAATTTAATGAGAAAAAAACTGTCAAATATTTGAGCATTTTTTATTAAGCAGTTCCTCGATCTAAGCTTTCGGCTCACATGAGCCATCCTCAGAGTGGTTATATGGACATTTAAACAAAGATATTCATCATCAAATATAATATCCTTTTGCGACGATAAGGGTTGCGGATTTTACGATCTGCGTCGGCTGATACACACGCACACGCACACACGTATATATATATATATATATATATATATATATATATATATATATAGAAATATATATAGAAATATATATAATATATAGGTGACCTGAGGATTGCATCTAGCATGAAACAAACTGTTGCCTCTAAGTGTTGACTTCTATGTTCACTTTTATATTTACACAGGCTCTATCTCTGATATTGAGCACTATATCCCATAAATATAGCACATCTTAAGACTATGTTTCTTCATATATATATATATATATATATATATATATATATATATATATATATATCTCCTAACGAATGGGCGGACGGGTTCGACTACGAAACTCTGGAGTCGGGATGCTGAAAGTCACAGCAATCAGCTAAGTAACAAACCTTTTACTTCAGAGTTTGTCTATATTTCTGAGATGAGGTATTATGTACAGTATTTACATTAGTCGGACTATTGTCCTCATCTTTGTCGCCATATTTGTCACAACGTTTCGGCCGTTGTACGCTCCGGCCTTCTTCAGGTGGTTGGAATTTCGAACTGAACCCTTTATTTCGATCACTGGGGTAGACTGTTCTAATTCCACGTGCCATGTTTGATGGATGTCAGTTATCAGTTATCTCCTGCTAATTTTCCCTCTGAAAGTTCTCCACTGCCTTAACCAGGAATTGAACTCACCTTTTTTGGGTCTGTCACTGGATCTAACCAACGCCTTTATCCATTTTGTTCTGCTTTCTTTAGCCATCTTTGAGGCAGCTTCATGATTCCAGAAAGTTAATAATAATAATAATTGTACCTGCCCTCATCTTCGTTAATTCACACGACCGTTACGCCTCATAAATAATATCTCATAAATAATGAACTATTCCGTTTTGGACGTGTGGAAAAGGGGGAAAACATATTTGATTTCGGTGACAGAAAGAATGAATGAAAAAAGGAAAGAAAAGAAAAGAAAAGAAATAAAAAAGAAAGAAAGAAAGAAGTGTTTAATGTCTCCTGTCAATACCAAATAAATAATGGACTATTCTGTTTTGATCGTGTGTATAGAGAGGAAAAGATACTATTTGGTTTCAGTGAGAAAACTAAAGAAAGAACGAAAAAAGAAAGGAAGGAAGGAAGAAAGAAAGGAAATAAGAAAGAAAGAAAGAAAGAAAGAAAGAAAGAAAGAAAGAAAGAAAGAAAGAAAGTAAGAAAGAAAGAAATACGTGTTTAACGTCTCCTGTCAATATCAAATAAATAACAAACTATTCCATCTGGTTAGTGTGAAAAGAGAGGAAAAGATACTATTTGGTTTCAGTGAAAGAAAGAAAGAAAGAAAGAAAGAAAGAAAGAAAGAAAGAAAGAAAAAAAAAAAGGAAGGAAGAAAGAAAAAGGGAGGAGAAAGAAAGAAAGTATTTAACGTTTCCTGCTAATACCAAATAAATAAAGGCCTATTCCGTTTTGATCGGGTGGAAAGAGGGGGAAAAGATATATTAAGTTTTAGTGAGAAAAAGAAAAAAAGAAAGAAAAAAGAAAGAAAGCAAGAAAGAAAGAACGAAAGAAAAGAAGATAAACGTGTTTAATGGCTGTTTCAGTGAAATGCGAAATGTTCTCATTTTCCAATCTGTTCATTTGTATCCCCTTACTTCTTAAAATAACAATCAGCATTCATATTTATGATTGTTATTGCAATATTTTGTTAAAGTTGTTAAGCTCAAATATTTAACGATGCGATAGGGGAGTTTTTTTTACGAATATTTTATTGACATAGACCTTATTGAATCATTAAGCGAAGAATTAAGATTCATCAGAATATTAAAATAGGAAAAGTGTGACAGTTTCACGGGTTTTTCTAATAATAATAATAATACAAAGGTCCTCAAGAAAAGAATTAGTTTATTGGATGGAAAAGGATTGTGAAGCCAGAAATAAACGAGAAAAAATAGGTGCAAAGGGAAGCCTATAAATGCACAATGGACGAAGAAGCAAATGGCGGGGGAGTTGCATTCAATCGATCTCTGGTTCAATAGCAAACGAAGGTGGAGAGATCGAATTGTAAAAGGTCGAAAGAGGTGAAAAATGATACGATGTGTAATAAATAGGCGGGTTTGTAAAACATGGGGTAACTCCGGGTTGAATAGAGGCTGGTTGAGGGCGCGAAAAGTAAAGAAAAATGAGTGTGACAGGTGGGGTTAGTGAATAAGGCAGGGGAGGAGGATTATCACTATTGACATCTTTGATCGATAAGCCAATCGCGAATACATTTGGTTTCTTGGTGAAGGTAAATATTTATGCCACCCTGTTAATGCATGGCTAGCCATATGTCATTCATTGATGGAATTCACTTTCCATCGTAAGTAGATTTCCATCGATAAAACACTCGCGCTACAAGCACAAAGGTGTCAAATTTTGGCAGATCTTTTGTCATCAGTTGTAATTTGGACGACTTTTGCAGGAAATACATGAGGCTAAATGACAGAGCTTTACTAATCATAGGGCCCGGTAAAAATTAAATTTACTAATCATAGGACCCGGTAAAAATTAAAAGAAAATTAACATTAAAACCTCGATGTAAAGACGTAATTGGAAGGAGAACAGGATCCTTTAATCCGCCAGTCTCTTAAATCCGATAAATCTCTCTTTCCTTAAAGAATCAAATTCTGTGCAACCACCATTAACTGAGAACATTCATACAAACACATAAGTAAATACTTATATGCAAGGTACATGCATATACATAGATACACCCACTACACACACAAACACAAATATATATATATATATATATATATATATATATATATTGGTTTGGTTTACTTTGTTTTACGGCATATCAACCTCAATAGTTATTTAATCCCGGCAAGATCTTTTAATGCTGGTAATATTGTGTTTTGTCAACAATCTGTTTCTGGTCATATTTTCACTTCAAAATTTTATTGCTGGTAATAATTAAAAAAAAAAGTATTGCGGGTAATAGTTAACTATTTGCCCATGGCCGGGACCCTAACAGCAATTAAAAGGTGGTTCCACGCTCCTCAAAACCTCCTAACCAGTGGCCTGTGTGTGACGCCATTTGTTTACATTTGGATACGCATCGAGCAGATATAAATGTACGAGAGTAAAATCAACATTGCTAACCGAAACGCTCCTCTGTGGCTCAATCGGTAAAGCACATCAGGCTATATGACGGTTCCGTATAGGATACAGGTTCGATTCCTGTCGGAGGACGCATATTTTCAAGGAACAATTTCTCGGACATTGAGGACGGTAAATGTCGTTAATACTGTTTATTATAAACAGAGCATTTACCTAAATATTTGTATCTATAAAAGAACGTTTAAACATAAAAATGTCTGAATATATATATATATATATATATATATATATATATATATATATATATATATATATATCATAAAAAACTCTCTAGGGCGACAACCACCATGAAACTCGGAGTACATACATAAGACGATAAATTAGCTATATATATATGAAGAAATATAGTCTTAAGATGTGCTATATTTATGGGATAAAGTGCTCAATATCAGAGATAGAGCGTATGTAAATATAAATATAAAAGTGAACATTGAAGTCCACACTCAAGTGACAGGCTGTTTCATGCTAGACGCAATTGTCAGGCCGTGTATATATATATATATATATATATATATATATATATATATATATATATATATATATACGTATATATATAAGTATACGTGGCTTCTCATTATTATATATATATATATATATATATATATATATATATATATAAATTTCTCATTATCTTAATGTATATATAGAAAAAGTTTCAAATTAAAAATAATAATGTTTTATTTTATGAAAGTATTTATTTATTTATATATATATTTGATATTTCAAATTGTCGTCAATTTTTCATCAGAAATAACTGTTTGTTAGAAATCTCGCGAAGGACGCTACTTGCTACAAACAGTAATTTTCATTTATTTGTAACAAACAGTTATTTCTGATGAAAAATTGAGGACAATTTGAAATATCAAATATATATATAAATAAATACATAATAAAATAAAACATTATTATTTTTTAATTTGAAATATATATATATATATATATATATATATATATATATATATATATATATATATATATATAGGGTGATTAAAAAGTAACTTCCTATTTTTATATGAGTGACCAGCCAGGAGTCCTGACTTAACATCCTGTGATTTTTTTTCTTTGGGATTGGTTAAAGGATCAAGTCTACTATGCCAAACCAAGAATTTGGAAGAACTTGAAGGGTGAATACAAGAAGTTATGTCTTCCATACCAGAAGACTTCCTGGTGAAATCAGTTGACGCGATTCCTGGGCGCCTCGAGAAGCTGGTAACGAAACCTGGTGCTTATATCAAATTTTAAACAAAACCTCATGCTAAACGCTTTCCTCTCATATACATTTCTTGTAAAAAGTATAGTTAATAAATCAATTATAAGTATTGTATAACATTGGTATTATTTCAAGCGTTTTCATAGGTGATACTTCATATTTAAATCAGACGCCCTATATTTATTTATCAAACAGATTGTGTCAATTGGCCTGCAAACATTATAGGAACTGGTTGACTAGGGAGCTACTATTATAACCTTTGAAGTAATATATATATATATATATATATATATATATATATATATATATATGTAGAGAGAGAGAGAGAGAGAGAGAGACATAGATAGATACTCTATTTATTCAAAAATTATAACATAAATATGTTATAAAATCACTACAAAAATAGCCATTTTGTTTCAACACTTCTGGTGTCTTATCAAGTGATGATGTTGAATGTATTCAACACCAGCACTTGATAAGAAAAGAGACCTCAACTCAATACAGAGGAGAGCTAAATATTATTTATTTTAGGAAATTAAAACAAAAACGTGTTAAAAATCGCTACATAATTACAATCATGTTTCAATACCACAAATGTGTCTCCTCGGGTGATGTCAAACCACTGGCAAGCGAAATATTAACTTAATTTCAAAAAAAAAGCAGAATATTTTTTAATTTTATTTATTTCTATTTTTATATATATATATATATATATATATATATATATATATATATATATATATATATATACAGACAGAGGGTGCGATGGGTAAATTGTCGCCATTATATATTTTTAATTCCACACACACGCATTTTTTTGTTTTTGATTTTGTCGACTGTACAGTAAAGTAGGCAAAGCTGGTCATCCGCTAGAAATTTGGAAGTCTAATGGTGATTACGAAGATAAGAAAAGAACTCCTACACCTACATCAAGTGCCTTGAAGAGGTAGTACTGCCGTGGGTGAAGAAGGTGGCTGCTGGAAGACCCTATATCTGGCAACAGGACTCTGCACCATGCCACACAAGCAGTAGGACACACTCATGACTGTCAGACAATTTCTGCGACCACGTCACCCCTTACATGTGGTCACGTAACTCCCCAGACTGCAACCCCCTTGATTATTATGTGTGGGGCGCAGTTCAGCGGGAGACCAAAAATCTCTCTGTAACACCAAAGATAAACTGAAAGCAAGGATTATGGCGGCATTCACCAACTTAAACAAGGAGACCGTCAAGAAGAGTTGCAGGAGATTCAGAAGTCGTCTGGAGGCCTTGATTGAAGTCAATAGTGATTTTATTAAATAAGTTTACTCTTTAGTATTTTATATAATTTTCGATATATATATATATATATATATATATCTGTTAAAATATGATATCAGTGTTATTTTCATTTTCACGTCATTTAGACGACAATTTACCCATCGCACATTATATATATATATATATATATGTGTGTATGTATGTATGTATCAAGTGCACACAGAGGTCAACACTGAGCGGCTGCACTCTGTTTCATACTTAAGCCCATAAAGATTACCTTCAATAATGAAATACACTATCCTCGCTTTATAAAAATAAACCATCCACTTTTATATTTACATACGCTGTTTCCCTGATATTGAGCACTTTATCCCATAATATATATATATATGTGAAATGGATTAAATCCGATAAATAATTTTAACATATTTTCTGTTTATACGGTTTTTTTTATGGATACACTAATGAGAATAAATGCTCTGTTTTTTTTTATTTTAATTAAACAATATTAATTACATTTTCTGGCCTGAACGTTCAAGAAATTTCGTAGAAGATATGCGTTCTCCCACAGGAATCGAACCCAGTATCCTATATGGAAATCGTCATTATGTCTGACGTGCTATGACCGTTCAGCCACAGAGAACTTCCGGTTTAGCAAAGCTTGAATTACTTTTAAACATACACCTTCGCCGATTTTTCTCGATTTATCATATATGTTATAAAATTGTAGGCTAACATAAAAAAATGATTAAATATTATATGAAATGGATTAAATCTGACAAATATTTTGCATATACTTTTTTTCTGGATACACTTATTTGATTTAATGCTCCCATTTAAAAAAATATTTATTAAATAATTTTACTCTTTAGTATTTTATGTAATTTTCGTAAATATATCTGTTTACGAAAATGAGATGCCAGTGTCATATTCATCTTCCTGTAATTTAGACGATAATTTATCCATCGCACTATATATAAGTGTGTGTGTGTGTGTGTGTGCGTGTGTGTGTGTGTGTGTGGTCTAAAGTCACCCTCGAAAAATAAAAAAAGAAGATATTGTTAGTGACAATCCTGTTTTTGTTTAAATCATTTAAAATTATTTAAATGATTTACAGTAAGAATAATTTTTCTTCTCATTTTCCTTGATTCGTTCAAAAGAAACTCCGTAAATTATTATTTTTTTCAGTGATTTCTTTCCAATATCAAAAAGGATTTGTTCTTCTGAAAAACGATTTTGAAAATAATAATACATATATATATATATATATATATATATATATATATATATATATATATATGAAATGGATTAAAACCGATAAATATTTTAATATATTTTTTGTTTATACGTTTTTTATGGATACACACATTTGAGTAATCGCTTCCTTAAAAAAAAATAGAAAAAAAATAGATAGTATTAAGTACATTTATCCGCCTGAATGTTTGAGAAATTTCGCAGAAAATATGTATCCCCCGACAGGAATCGAACCTGTATCCTATGCGGAACTATCATTTAGCCTGATATTATGACAGAGGACAACCAGGTTAGCGAGGCTCGAATTACTGCTTTTAAATTTTTTGATTTCTCGAACATTCAGGCCGGTAAATTTAATTAATACTTTTTAATTAAAAAACAGAGCATTAACTTAAATAATTGTATCCATAAAACCGTATAAACATAATATACATACATACATATATATATATATATATATATATATATATATATATATATATATATATATATATATATATATATATGATTGAATAAATTAGAGATATTAACAATATAAAAATTACTAATCGACAACACCACTATCCTACATCTTGAAAACAACAAATTCAGATTACAGATACTAGAAGCGATTTAGATTAAAAAAAAATTAAAGCCGGCACTGAACAGAATCAACTATCAATACTACAGTAATGTTCTAAAATGCCTGTAAAGGAACAGTTTTTTTACGCTTCAATGCGCGCGTGACCATGACATTATAACAAGAAAAAAAATTGCATTTAAAAGCATAATGAAAAAATTACCGTAATGGATGACAACGCACAACTTTGTATAAATACCCTGTACTAACGAACACCATATAGTTTTGTACTACTTGCACCACTGAAGATGATTTTGGAAGATCGAAAGTACTTGGAAAATGAAAATAAAACAAATTTAAACAACTATATCACATTTCTTTCATCTTTTAACATCAATACACGGAAGGTTATTCTTGAGTATGAACAGATTTTATTAAAAATTAGCAGACATAATGTCTGTAATTTATTCAGATATACCTAAAATAGTGTTGCTGTTTAAATACACAGACACACACACAGACACACACACACACAGAGACACACACACAGACACACACATACATACATATATATATATATATATATATATATATATATATATTGAGAAAAAATCCGACCCCCCCTATTATTACGACCTCCGTCTTGTATTAGGTTCCTAAAAGTAAGTAGTGTGGATAATAATAATTCTCTCAGCTCAGTTGTTTATGGCAAATGATGAAATAATATAAGCAGACTGCCTTTATGTTATGGGGTCCACCCTTTTCGGATATAATGGACTCGTCTTGCTGCCATAAAATAGCCACAGTCAGTCAGAGAAGAGAAGTTGTACAAGAGTCGTAGGGTGTCGGATGGAGTGAAGTAACCTCTTGTAGAAGTCAGTTACAAGCACGTAGACTCTAAGGAAGTCCTACTTCGAGACTGTATATATCTATCTGTATTTGCTACTAACCGTGTTCCTGGATTTTACTAACAGCATTACCTTTTGTATTTTGTGTAAATACATTTAATTTCTTAGCTTAAATACTTGCGTTTGTCATTTATTGGATACCTATTTTTCACGCGGGATCCAAAACACTTTATAACAAGGCAAGAATCAGGAAAAAAAAACAAAAAAACATAATTAACTTACCTTGAAGTCTTCTGCTATAAATCTCTACAATTCTGAAAATAAAGAGAAAAAAATAATATTAATAAAATATTTATAACTCGTGCCATCAAAACTGACAGCAATTGTTAGAAAGTTTTAATATTGAGATGCAATGAAAGAAAAGTCTTGAGATTCAATAAAGTGGCGATAAAGAATTCTCAACTGAAATAAAAGCCAATGAACCTTTTAATTAATCCATTCCCTTTATAATTCTTAGACGTTCAATGCTATGATTCATTCATTACTCTTGGTATTATATAAATCGCTATTTGCTCAATATGTTAAAACTTTTATATGTTTAATATGACATCGAAATAAAAAATATCTATCGGAAGAAAAGATTAGCAACAGAACGGCAAAGCCTCTTTTAAGTCCAAGTCGAAGCAAGATGATCACTTAATAGATAAACGTATGTAAGTACCTCACATGAAAGGCTTGAACAAATAACACTGCAATCTAAGAAATGTAGGAGTAAATGAGCTGATTAATTAATTTTGCGCGGGAAGTAATTTTGTTTAAATGTAGATAAATATTTTATTTGTATAGATTATTAAAACCACTAAGAGAAGCAATCCTTCATAAATTTACTAAATTAAGTTGATTTACATCCCCTTCTGCTACAAATGGGAGAGGAAATATACAAATAAATACACATTGATAATTATTATATGGTTTGATTATTTCAGGTCAGAATGCTACCCTAGAACACTAACCATGGGTATATAGTACTCAGCGCAAATTTTCCTAGTTTTAATTACAATTTCCAGCTTTGACAGAATTCAAAAGCCTTTATGAGACCTTGTGCATGAAGAGTTATTTTCTACCTGCAATCTCTTTCCCCTCGGGCGTAACATTGCTCCTCTATTGCTATGGCAAACGTTCAGACGAGCTAGATTCCTTAGTTCCGCCAGTACAGACCTACACTTCCAACACCCGCTATATGACACATAATGTTTAGTATACCTACGTACGATAATGGGTATGTCCCCATTCGCATAAATACGGTAGTAAATACTGTATGTTGATCAGCAGTTGTAGATTCGTCTCCAGATGTGCTGGTCAAATTCTCTGACTCTGGGCAAAGAAGATCCCCAGACGAGGCTATATCGAAGGGCAGAGTCTCGTCTTGGGAAGCAGCTGCCCGACCCCGTTTTATACGGGGTCTACGGGGAATTTTTTACCGAGCCTACGGACTCGGATACCCCACATTAAATTCGGCTTTGTGCCAAATCTGACCGCGTGGGGCGGTTGGTAGATATCCTGCAGTTGGAGATTCATTGTGGAATTCACTTGACTCACTTCTAGCAGTAGACTACTTCTACACGCCGCTAGTGAATCTTATATATGTTGTTCTTGTCCTAAGTATTATCGTTCATTACGTACTTTCGCGTGATTATTGTATTCAGTAACCTTCCCTAGATTACAAAACATACACAGTGTCGACTAATCTTCATTCCCTTCATATTCCATCGGTGAGGAAAAAATGTTCCACTCAGACAGCTTCTCTCTTATAACTGTTACAAAGTGGAAAAGACTCCTGGCAGGATGTTTCCCCGATCACTACAATCTTAACCTCTTCAAGTTCAATCATAACCGTTATTTATCCTACATATCCTCATAATATGCACTTCTTATTTTCTCTCTTTATGTCCTCACAAAAACCTCATTATAATAAACTACTGTGATTGGGTCTTGTATTGAATAAACGATAGTATACAAGTATAATTCTTTACGAGGAGAAATATTAGAAAGTGGAAGTAGAAATATTTTTTCATTTTTGTTTAATTTTTGCACATTATAATACGAGTAAACATTGGCATTTATTTATTAAATCATTTATTTTCAGGAATAATTTTATATTTACAACATTCTAAAAAACTAATACAATATTTATCATTTAGCAATTTATAAAGAAAATTTTTTATTCTTTAATTTATAAACATTTACTAAATATGTCAACCAGCTATAAGGAAATCCTTATTACTTAACATTTTATTAAGTTCGAATTATTTGGCAATTAGTCAATGTGCCAACCATTCCAATATAATATAATAGTGTTTATTATTTTTGTAATAAGACAGACTATCAAAATGACTATTTCCTATGATACCGCTTTTTTTAACTACCTTTACCCTTTGACAATGTTTATTGTTTTAAAAAGCAATAATTAGAATCTTAATAAAACGTAAACATATGATGAAAGTGAATTTATACATTTTTTGTTCTTTAGAATTTACAATAAAAATATTAAAAACTTACAATTAGAACAAATACAATGCAATATTTATCGTTTAATAATTTATAAAAAAATAAATATGCAAACAATTTTTATTCATAAATTTATAAACATTTACTAAATTATTAAAACATGAACTAACTCTAAGGAAATCCTTATTATTTACCATTTTATAAAGTTTGAATCAATTGGAAATTAGTCCGATGTTTTACCAACCATTCCAACAAATAATATAATAGGTAAATAATGTTCAATATTGTTGTCAATTCTCAAGAACAAAGAAAACGTATAAATTCAATTTCATATGTGTAAATTTTATTACAATTCAAATCATTGCTTTTTAAAACAATAAATATTGCCGAGGAGTGAAGGTAGTTAAAATAATAGTGGTATCATGGGAAAAAAACCGCCTGTTTGACACTAAGGTCAATATTTACTAAAATATATTTGTATAAATTTTAGATAAAACAAACAGCACACACGCACACACACACACACACACACATCGAAAGAGGATTGAAAAGGATGAGAAAGAGAATCTGAAGATACAAGCAAAGCATGAGACAAAAGCAGAAATATGAGATAATGGATACTCTTTAGTTGTTAGCACTGAGGGAAATTCTACAGTTCTATAATACTTCTATAGGTAGTTCATAGTTCTATAGTAAATCTATGAGGTCTATAGTAGTTCTATAGTAATTCTATAAGGTTCTGTATGGTTCTATACTAGTTCTATTTGATTCTATAGTAGTTGTAGAAGGCTCTATAGTAATACTATAAGGTTCTGTAAGGTTTTATAGTAGTTCTATAAGGTCTTATAGCAGTTCAATATGGTTCTATAGTAGTACTATAAGGTTTTACATGGTTCTGTAGTAGTACTATAAGATTCGACAGTAGGTCTATAAGGCTCTATAATAGTCCTATAGTAATCGATAATATACTGACATATTCAGTTTTGTACAATGCGATAAATGTCGTTCCTCAATCCAAAGACAAAAAGGAGAGAGTGAGGAAAAGATTTCAAATTATTGGTCGGAATAGGTCCGTTTTGTTTGCTTGTATCAACGACGTAATATTTGTGTACAGTGATCCGTCTATAAAACAGCGGCTTTCGTAAATGGCCAATCTACATCCGTGACTGATTTGCCTGGCCAGAACGAATTACAATGTTAGTTTATTATTCATGAAAAGTAACTGGTGCACATTGTGTCGGATAGTTTTTCATAATAGAAATCCTAATCATTGCCTTCCCACTCTTGAAAAGGCAGCTAAAGTACAGCGATTACAATGGCTTCCAAAACTCTCATAATACGTTGCACAAAAAGAGACATTTTTATGCATGCATAGTTAAAGTCGTCGTCGTCATCCGTCCGTCTCGAGAGATGATGGAGTAGCGCGGTGCGCTACGAGCCTGGGCGGGATATATGGAGAACTAGGGCTGCCCAGGCGTCTAGTTCCCCCTCTTGGCCTTGCTAGCAGAATCCAAAAGAGAGGATAAACCAATACAGTTTGGTACCAGCGCGGCTGCAGGAGTTGCCGTCCATCCGCCTTAGGGGATCCACTCCGGGTTTGAATTCAGAGTTGTCCTCCTCCTAGACCAGTTGCCATCTAAGAACCCAGTCTGTCCTGCTATTTACCCATGGCTGGAGGGAGAAGAAGAGGATTCCCAAGCAGGTATTAGCATGTAAGTGAATGTGATGGATTCGACTGGAATTCGAACTCGGCTCTCCAATTCCTCAATCCAAGCCGCTATCCATTACGCCACCGTGCCTCCTGCAGTTAAAGTAGCGATTAGCATTATATACGATATCTTTTACTAAATCAAATATATTAAGTGTTTTTTAGGCTTTCTCGATGGATTTAAAGCATAATCATATTGTAATGACAAAAGTACGCAGGTGTAGGCTTTATTCAACTGAGAATATAAGGTTCGCGTATAGTGTCCTTTTATAGTCCCAGTAAACAGAAATAGCTCTCTCAAAGAGGAGAGTAACAAAACAAGAGTAGACTTTTCTTGATTATTCATAATACATATAAAATTTAAAAAATATAATTTCACCCCAAGCAAAGTGATAATGCCACTAGGACGCAAGGGGGGGGGGTGGTCTAGTGGGAGTGAAAGAGAATGACAAAACTTTAGTAAAGAGCAAGGACAATAAAAGAACAGGATTCAGGTACGCAGAAGTCACATTTAAATTTCTGAAGGTTGTAGTTGACATGGAGGCAAGAAAGTGAAAGAGTTCCACAAGTGAGAAGTGCAAGAAACTATTAGAATATAACTTATGGCTACATCGAGTTCAACAGTAAAATGGTGAGACCTACTTGGCAATCTAGTACTGCGTTTAAATTCATGAAGTCTAGGTCCCAAAGAGGAAAGCAATATTTATTTTGAATAATACAAAAATGTAGCACAAGGCCAAAAGCGCGGATATGGGAAAAGTGGTCTTCAATCTGTCTTATCTTAAAACTTAGCTAGTCAGGATTACTGGCCCAAGCATACACAATATTCCTTACACCAAAACATCACGATTCTTACTACAGTCACCATAATACCTCATAGTCTCTATGTAGTCCTAGCTAGTTCCCAAATGTACAAGAGAAGAAAGCTCATCAGAACAAAATACCGGGGTGGGTGGGGATTCATGGCGGTGAGAAAGTGATTGAAGTTGAGATGTTAGACGTAGTAACTTTACACAGTTTTTGTATAACACACCTTTCATGTAGAGGGAAGTGGTGATTTATTATACATTTTTAAAAATTATTTCACCTCCAAGCAAG